GCAGGGGGTTGGACTGGATGGCCCACGAGGTCTCTTCCAACTCTATGATTCTACTCCTCTTTTCTGCCTTGGTCAGACCACATCTGGAATACTGTGTCCAATTCTGGGCATCACAATTGAAGGGAGACGTTAACAAGCTGGAATGTCTCCAGAGGAAGGTGACTAAATTCATCAAGGGTCTGGAGAACAACCCCAATGAGGAGCAGCTTAAAGAGCTGAGCATGTTTAGCCTGAAGAAGAGAAGACTGGGGAAAGACATGATAGTCATATCTAAATGTGTGAGGGAAGTCTTAGGGAGGAGGCAGCAAGCTTGTTTTCTGCTGCCCTGGAGGCTAGGATGCAGAACAATGGCTTCAAACTCCAGGACAGGAGATTCCATCTGAACATTAGGAAGAACTTCCTGACTGTAAGTGCTGTTCAGCAGTGGAACTCTCTGCCCTGGAGTGTGGAGGAGGCTACTTTGGAGGCTTTTAAGCAGAGGCTGGATGGCCATCTGTCAGGGGTGCTTTGATTGCGATTTTCCTGCTTCTTGGCACGGGGTCGGACTGCATGGGCCATGAGGTCTCTTCCAACTCCATGATTCTATGGCTTCTTCCATCAGCCCTCAGTGATACCATTAGGCTGATATGGTGTAAACATGGGACGGAAGCCACATGCAATCTCTGGCCTTTTTTTTTTTTTTCTATGATACCTTGCTCTATTACACCAGAAAAACTTAGATTCTAAAAAATGTGTTTCCAAAAGTTGGCAGCAGACTGTTAATTAAAAGAATATAGTGTAACTGACTAACATAGTCAATTATCTTGTCAATTGTCAGTCTTAACTGCAAACTCCACAGTGCAATTGAAAAAGTGCATTAAATTACTTTACCTTTTACTAGTTGAGTGAAAGCCGTGCTTTCGAAAACCTTGCAAAGCATTTCCCCAATCATTTGGAAAAGGAAGCTTTTAATTTGCTGCTTCTGCTGGCACTGCTGCTGTCTGTGCTGTTCTACTGTAATAAGTTAATCTAAAGTTCACGGTTTCCCAAGTTACCTTAAAATTAAATATTATTCCCTAAAGAATTAAAATCTGTCTGTAAATCATCATAGCATAAATTAAATTAATTAACATCAATTCTAAAAGAATTGTTATTAATACAAGAATATTTAGTGTACTTAGAATGAATTAATCTATTCAAATAATAGTGAATCAATTATTAGTGATTTGTCTGTGGATTTTCTCCTGGTGCTAAAAATCTAATTATAATAAAATGAATATATGTTTATTTTTACCCAATTTATTTATTTATGTCAGTTTTATCATCATCATCATATTTAATTACTTATTAATCGCCCTCCATCCGAGATGCTCTAGGCGATTTACATAACGAAATCGTACAGAATAAAATACATACAAACAGATATTAATAAATTAACATAGGTCAAATGCTCTAGTAAAAAGCCAGGTCTTAAGTGCTAAAGGCCCTAGGTCATGCATGGCTCTCATATAAGGAGGCAAGGAATTCCATAAGGCAGAGGCAGAAATAGAGAAAGCCCTGCGCCTGGTACTTTCCAAATGCACCTCTCTAGGATCCGGTATATAGAGTAAATCACGTTGGGAAGGACGTGGTGACTTCTGGTGATGGAAGGAGAGACGGTATCTAATATAGGATGGACCCTGACCGTATAAAGTTTTAAAAGTCAGGACTAGCATCTTATACAGACCACAATAATCAATTGGAAGCCAATGTAAATGTCGCAGCACTGGTGTTATATGGCATTTCATAGGCGATTTTGTGAGTAACCTGGCTGCAGCATTTTGAACAATACGGAGCTTTCAGGTCGTAGACATAAGAAGGCCAGCATACAAGGCGTTACAGTAGTCCAGCCTAGATGTGAACGTGGCATGGATGACTGTTGCCAGATCCTCGTCCAACAGGTAGGGTGCCAATTGCCTCGCTTGTTGTACATGGAAAAAGGCCTATTTGCTGGCAGCAGCGACCTCAGCTTCCATTGTCATTTGTCAATCAAAACATTCTATGGTTGTACTATTTTGTTCAAGCATACGTTGCTCAAGTAGTCAGCTACCTGGAAATATAGGGTGTTTCAAAATGATGGAACTAATTTCAAAGCAGTATATTTCACGTTTACTGCTCCTCACCTAGTTTTAGTTGTCCACCTGTTCCAAACATCAACAATTACATTGCAGTCAAAGCATAAATTAAGGTGGCATTTCACTATCATGATGAAGCCTTGACTTAGCTGATTCTTAGTTTGGTTTCTGACCTTACTTACTTACTTACTTACTTAGGCAATCCCTCATTGGATGAGTAGGATAGTCTTCCATTTATTTATTTATTTATTGTGTCATGAGCAGACCAAACAGTTGCATTGCATTTTTTAAGAAACAAACAAACAGACAAAATACAAAGTTTGCAAGCTTGGTAGTTGATTAAATGTCCTTTGACCAGTAGCTGGCCACTTGAAGTGCCTCTGGTGTAGCTGCAAGAAAGTCCTCCATTGTGCATGTGGCAGGGAGATTATTGTAATGGATGGTCCTGAAAAGGTCCGTTGGTTGTTTTGCTTGCTTGTTTGCATGCTGCAAGTCGCTTCTGGAGTGAGAGAATCAGCCGTCGACGAAGACGTTGCCCAGGGGACGCCCAGATGTCTTGCAATCCTGCGAGGAGGCTTCTCTCATGTCCCCCATAGTCTTCCATGATCAGTTTTCTTGTTTCTGACCCTTGCCCCCATGTTCCCAGGCCCTGCCACCCAAATCTCTACCCCAGAGTATTCCTAGCTGGACAATGCAGTCTGGTCTCCATGTAAGTGTTTACTCAGGTTATCTTACTTTTTGTATGATTACTCCCTTAGCTACCATTTTCACTACATATGGAGGCCTGTTGAATTCAATATGGGTTATCACTTCCTGTCTGTTAGCTCAGCTATTGGAGAATACAGTCAAGCCTTCGCATTTACTTCGGTTTAAAGACACAGTAGGACCATTGCTAAAGTGGGAAAAACTAATGTTAAAAACCTGCTATTTTTTAACCTGAGAGAATGCATCTCTAGGAATCTGCAGGTCCTCCACTATAATGCTTCTGCAGAAGCTGGGAGCCTAAAAGTGTTCTCCCTAGTCATATCTAGATAGAATGTGTCAAACTCAAGGCCTGTAGGGTGAATCGAGCCCTCTGTGTCATTTTTTGTGGTCCTCCAGATGCTGGACTACAACTTCTGTATTCCTTCTGTATTCCTGTTTATTCAGGATAGAGGGTTCTCAATTCAGATACAATGCTTTTGGATAGGATGTCTTTACAATGTTCTTTAACTTCTCCCCAACCTCAGGCCCACAATTGGTATTCGGTTGCAATTACCATTATTGCCAGTCTGCATGGCAAAAAGTTGTCTTTCAGTAACATCTGGGAACTCAAACTGGATAATAACTGAAGAGCACTAACCACTATGTAACCGAATTATAGTTGGTCCTCTGTATCCATGGATTCTTCATCTGTGGATACAGAAGGCAACAATAAGGCTGGTGTGGCCCTCAATGAAAATGAATTTGACACCCCTGCTCTGGATTATCTAGTGCAACTCTATGGTCAACTTTCAGCAGAGATTCCTAGAAAGACCATATTAATCAAATCTGTAGATAATCAAAATTGTAAAAGTTAAATCTGCAAATGTGGAAAGCTTACTCTTTTTTACTAACCTTCCCATTGGTATCATGTTGCATATCATTTCCCAAAGAAATAGGAAATTCCTAGCTCAGTCTTCTTCTAAGACCAGAATGAATTTAAGAAGCTAGTTATATTTTGCCAGTGTCAACAAAGCTTTCACAGCTATAGTGAGTTTAGACTTTACTTAATCAGCTGTAAAGTTTCTTCATCTATGCTTCCTTGTACAGTTTATAAGGCTGGAAAAAGCAGAGTTTATCATATTCAAGTGCTGCCCTCCAGTTGTTGGTGGGCTGCCACTTACATATCTTACAACATTGTAGAACTAATACTGTAGAGGAATTCTGGAAATTACAATCCAGAAACCTCTGAAGGGTTGCATTCCAGAAAAGATACAGGAAAGTAGTTAAAATTATTTTGCAAACCACAAAAGATGAGATCCTCAGTGAACTGAAACTCAAAAAACAAGAACTCTCAAGCAATTGGCAAAAAAATGAAGAAATAATACTCCATTCACAAAGTTGTTTTTATAATACAATAAAACTGTGTTACATTAAATTTAGTTTGCATTTATTTGCTTTTAATTACTGTCTATACAGAGTTGGTGGTATGGTGTAGTATGGAGTCTAGATTAGAAGTCTATATATAGTTAATAAACCACCAACTGGAAATCGTATTATACTCTGGTTCTGTTGGCTCTGTTGATTTTATTGGCTGCATAATAATTTTATTAATATTAAATAATTTTAGTTGTAGTTTATATAAATTTATGTTTATGTTTTTATATTAGATGTAAATTAATTGACAGGTTATGTTACTATTTAATTTTTGGTTGTATGATATAATTTTTTCTTAGGTGTTGGTTTATTTTGGGATCTGATCCGTTATTTGTACTTGTATTTATAAATGTACTACGGCATTGAATGTTTGCCATTGTTTTTGTTGGAATCCACCCCGAGTCCCCTCGAGAAGACAGGGCGGAATACAGATGATGATGATGACGACAATGATGATAGTAGTATTAGTTGGGCCTATTTTTAATAGTAACCTTCAAGCAACCAGAAACTACATTTATCTAGCACCAATCAGTCACCATGGATGTAGTCAATGGAAAGTAATGTAGTTGGGACAAGGTCACTGTTTTCAGAATCAAATTTGAAAGAGGTGTGATTGTAAAACTGCTTCTCATAATAGAGCCAGAATTGCGGATGATTGTATAATCATGTGTCAATGTAAACATGCATTCTAGCTTTTCTATCACAGCTACCTTTACAATTTTCAACATGTTTTCAACTTCAAATAACCAAAGCTTAGCACAATTAATGAAGCAGGCTTCCCTCTCTTAGGTACACCATTGGCTACTTCATCAGACAAAATCAAGTCACATATGCAACATGAGGTGGAAAATGTAGTGCCTCCTCACAAAAGAATAAGGCGGAAACTGATAGAGTCTCCCCTGGTAGTGCCAAGTCTGAATCGTTGCAGTCAATTGAGCCCTAATCACTTGGGGGATTCTGTCAGCAAAGCATTCCAGCCCATTGTGCACACGCCAGAGGCCTGCAAGAAGCCCATGAAGAGTTTGTGTTTGGAAACTGTGGTAAAGTCTGACCGACTTTCAACAAGCCCTCAAGGGGCAAACAGCTGTAGTGCACAAGTACAAGAACGACTAAAGCAAGACAGTCTTGGGGATACTGAGCATCACGCGAGTTGCGAGACCCACTTGAATACAACCATTACTCTTCAAGAAAATGATCCGGATGGTACAGATCACCCTTCAGGCGTATCCAATAACAACTCACAGCCAAGTAATGGAAGCAGTGTTTTGCAAAGGTATCTCTTTCTCCCCCCCCCCCCTTTTTTTTTTTTTTTTTATTGTTTCCACTTTAAACTTTTGCTTTGGTGCTGCAGCTTTTTAGAAAAAAACACAGTTGGCATTGCCTTAGTTCACATCTTGATGTGTGATAGAAGCTTCATGATGATTGATCCTGTGAAATGCCCTTCCCCAAGTGAGCACCCTCCGTATGTATTGGAGCATAACTCCTACCTGTGATTAGCATGCCCATTTGCTAGGGACATGGAAGTTGTAGTCCACCACACATAGAAAGCACTAGATGAGTATAAAGCCTGACATAATAAATTGTGAAGCCCTATTGAAGAGATGTTGCCTTGTCTGCATTTTTTATCTTTGAGAGCTCCACAGTTCGTGATTCTAAACACTGAGGGTAGGGAAGAAGCAAACTTTTAGTAAACACATTAAATAGTAATTCTGTCCCCCTATAATAAAATAAAATTTAAAAAAGGCCCCTGTGGTGCAATGGGTTAAATCACTGTGCTGATGAACTTGAAGGTTGGCAGTTTGAATACATGGGATGGGTAAGCTCAAATGCTGTATTTTTTCCCCATGGAAAATGTTCTACACTACATATACTCACGCATTTGTGTGTGTTCATTCATAAATGACTGGGCTGTTGTATTATGACACTGACCAACATACATTTTGGTGCCTCGAATGTTAGACTTGCTTCTGGACATATTTGACCTACTGATTCCAAAATGGGAACAATTTTCCCCTATCAGCTCTAGCTTTTGAAATATAGAACATATGCTATATGTTCTACATCTCAAAAACTAGAGCTGATAGGCCAGAGCAACACATCAAGGCTGAGATGCTGGACCTGGTGATCCTGGAGCAGTTCCTGAGCATCCTGCCCTCAGAGATGGGAAGCTGGGTCCAAGAGTGTGGGGCAGAGACCTGTTCCCAGGCAGTGGCCCTGGCAGAGGGCTTCCTCCTGAGTCAGGCAGAGGACAAGAAGCAGGAAGAACAGGCCCAAAATAATTGCATCGAAGTCCAGTCTAATGTCCCTACATCAGAGAAACCTCCATCAGACACCACCCAGAATCTCAGGCAGAAGGCTCTAAAGCAGGAAGGAGATGGGGCTGCAATCTTGGAGGGAACTGGAATGATGTTTTTTCTGAATCCTCAGTCGTTTCTTCCCTTTTGTGATGGAATGGAACTGAATCAGATTCCTGGGAGAAAACGACTGGAGTTGTCTGGGTGTCATTTGTTCCAGGCTTAATCATCAACGGTGAACTGTTTTAATGTATTTTATAATTGTTTTAATGTATGTTAAATGTATATTATGCTTTGCTTTATTGTTCAGCACCGAATAGTGCCTGTTGGTAGTCATCCTGAGTCCCTTTTGGGAGGTGAGGACAGGATAGAAATGCTCCTAATAAACAATAAATAAATACCAGTCACTATCTACTTGCCCATAGAAAATTGTGATAACTGTGTTGATGCTGTCTATCCAATTTTCTGAGTCAGCGTCCCAAATAATCCCAGGAACCGGCCTAAAAACCAAGACACCAAGAAATTGATTGGTGTTTGTTTGTTTTTTTGTTTGAGCTGTGTAATCAATCAGCTAATGAAACATAATGTGTTACTAATTATCCTGAATCTGTTTTTTCTCCATTTGAAATTGAACTGCTAAATAGTTCATAGAGTGTGAAGAAAGTTGAAGAAGCTATTGTTGTTATACCATAACAAAATAAAAATAAATTATGATAAGATATATCAGGCTTGGGACCTAAAATAATGTTTTTTCAGATGTAGTCATTTTTGTCAATTATAAAGGAAGTATTCTCTTTACATTATTATAAATATTCCAATAAAATCATTCCCACATAAGGTTTTGGATTTGCTTATATATAACTTTCAAACCAGTGAAATTAGTTCAAATAAATGTAGCAAAGACAAGATGGTAGTCATCACCACTGGCTTAAATTATGTTAAAGAATCAAGTACATTCATGGTAAATATGTCTTCCAATGGCTGAAAGCCATGAGGACTAAACAGAACATCTATAGGTCCATCAACAATGTGTGTCAATTGGACATGTTGTGGGCAGAAGCAGAAATAGGAGTCCAGTGGCTTCTAGCAAGTAGTTGGGTGCCTGAAATAGGATAGGAAACTAAGACGGACATTTGGTGGGCAAACTGCAGCCTTCAGGGACTTGTAGCCACAAAACAACCTCTTGAAGGTGTAAAGGGTGTTTCTGCGACATTTAGAACATGCCGATCCTCCAGTGGTAATAACACTGGAGGACAACCCCTCCCCCCCCCCCAAAAAAAAAAACGCTATCTAGACACCTAGGCACACAGCAATATGTTCCTTTGTCTCCTAAAAGGTGTTTGAGAGACCAAAAATATTTGTTGGCAGGAGCGGTTGTTGTGAGAGATGTGGCTCTTTAAGGTCTCCTGGGGACAATGTGCTCCACCAACCTTCTGCAGTCGTTTACCTCCGGTCTAACAGGACTTTTCAGCAGCACATATCCCCCCATTCTCTGACATTATTGTATGTAATTTGAAATTTGTAGATACTTTGCCAATACTTCTCAGTAGATCCTCCTCATTGTTTTTGCTGCTGCTCCTGAATCCAGTCAGTCTTCATAGCTACCCAGAAAGGGTGATAGTAAAATGAATTATTTAGAATGCATTGCCTTCATTTTAAAAAATGGTGCTGCTTCTTCTGTGTTTGTTTGATTGATTGATTCCTTCGTTCATTCCAGACTTCACCTGCCTTCATTGTTAAATAGACAGCCAGGTCCCATACATGAGAAGCCATCTTATATGGCAATGACATCTGCTGCGGAGAGAAAAAGAAAATTATTAAGGTATGTAATATTGCAAAGTAATATGTTACATTTCATCTATTTTTATTAATTTAATCAATTTAATTATTTAGTTTATGTTCCACTGTTCTCCCAAAACAGCATTCAAGGAAGCATGCAACCAATTAAAACAAAGTAGAGTACAGACAAATGACTATTTACGAAATTAACATTTAAATAAATAAAATATTTTTTTGTGAGAAATGCTGTCTTAAAGCAAAATTAAAACATAGTCAAAATAATATTCATATATATATTCATATATTTCTAATGGTACCCTAGGAGGTGTCTTTTATCCAATTTGATAACAAGATGGTCGAACCTATTCCTTTACAGATGTACAAAGAACAAAAACTATTTCCAAAAATGTTTATTTGCATAAACTTTTGTTATATGTTTGGGGAGCTTATCTTTTTCACCTGCAAATTTTGTTTTAAAGTTGTATGTTTTAATTATAAATGTCTCATCAACAGCCATTTTTATAATGATGCCAGTCAAAGTATGGACCTGGTCACTTTGCATATAACTATAGAACTAAATGGGTAGGGAAAAAAACATGCAATTCTGCATATCAGACCTGAAACAATCCAGTAATTTGGATTACATTTTTGCTTTTCCTGAGGGTAAGGAAGAATATAAAATGCAGACCTCATAAAGAAGTTAACAATGGTGCTTTCTTGTAGCTAATGTGTTACAGATTGTGTCTCTCTTCTATTTTCAAATATTGACTATGGTTTAGTGTAATATGAATATGCAGGAGCAAGTGCAGTAGTACCAAAATACCTTAAACACACTCAGTCTCATTTGATTTTAGATGCTAAACAGGGTTAGGCCAGATTATCATTTAGATGGAAAATTACCAGGAAACACATGGGATATCCAGGTTGGTCTGAAAAAGAATCCTGACTTAATCCCAAGAAAGAAACTTCCAGTGTGAGCTAAATAGTGTTAATACTATCAGTACTGAGCTAGATAGTATTATATGGAGTAGATTTCTGTGTTTTGCTTAATTGCACATTGTGTTGTTTGAACCCAGAATTGTGATTCACGTCAACTATGGTTAGTTAAACATGCCCAATTAAGAAACCGGTTTAACAGGTTATTGGTGTATCTAGACAACACAGCAAACCACAAGAAAGTCAGTGTTCAAGTATACCCTTCCAAGCACCACCCCAACTGCATAGGAGGGGAAGGGGAGCAAATGAGTCCAAACCTTGCTGCAGTGTTCCTGCTGGTTCACATGACACTAAACTGATTTTGCACAAGCTTTAACATTGTGTTGTGGCAAATTGAGATGTAGCATAGTGGTTTTACACTGTTTTGATATACACTTTGTTCAAATTTCTTTTCTCAGTTCTACATTAGGCACTGAGTTAAAAACCCAGCAAGGTCCAATGGCTGCCAAACGTATTAAACAAGTTGTTGTGTTAAGTAACAAACCGCTAAGAGTACCCATAGGTACAGGTAAGTCTCCATTCTACAATTTTAGTAGTTATTTATACATTGAAGCAAGAGGTGTAGGATTACAGGCTGAACTTTTCAGTTTGTTGACTCTCCATAGTTGTTTGCTGTGTTAATTCATGCGGTCAGGCCGACTGAGATATTGTAGCCACCCAGTTAGTTTAGTCAGTTCTCTTGCTTACTATTAAAAATAGAAGGACATATTGAGTCCAAAAGAAGCATATGTTTGTCAGCATTTATGGAATCCTGAGGCCAATGAAAATTAAACCCATTGGACAGCAGACCATAAATTGTAATAGCATTCTCTGGTTGCTCTAATGCAGATTCGGGTAGCAGGTAACTGAAAAAACCAAGAGGTTTTGGCAAAGAGACATTGATGTATACACACCAACACAGATTTTAGCAGCTGCTTAAGAGTGTAGGGTAGTACTGCTGGGCCTTCAAGTATCAAATTGCATCATAGAAAGGATTGGGAGTCAGTGAGCTGGGAAATGAAAAGGCAGGTTCTGTAATAGGGATCATTAGGAAAAGAGGTCAGAAATGAAACTACCAATATCATATGGTTAACTGACTTTTTAGTGAAACAATACTGGGAACATTATGTACAGTTGTGGTTGTTTTCAAAAAGAATATCTGAGAAAGTCTATGAAAGAGTTCAACCAAAATAATCAGGGTTCCTCTATTTGGAAAAGGATACAATGCTAAGAGGTACTTGGTGTAGGAGGAAAAGTGTGTGAAGAAGAAATGATAAAACAGGTTTTATATTCTGCATGCTGTGGAACAATTAGATATAGAAGAGGTTTGGAAATGGTTGGAAATGATTGGAAATGCAGGTCTGATAAAAGGAAGTACTCCTTCATACAAGATATAGTTAACCTGAAGAATTCACTGCCCTGGAATGTAGTAATGTCCACCAATTTAGTTGGCTGTAATGGGACACTCAATAAATTCATGGGATTGGCAATGGGTACTAGATATTATGACACTATATTACATCCAAGTTGAGAAACATTGTGCCTTTGAATCCCAATTACAAGGTAACAGCAGTAGTGAGAATACTGTTCTTTCTGTGGCCTTCCTGAGTGTATCTGGTTCTCTACTGGAGAGAGAAAGAATGCAAGATTAAAAGGGCTTTAAGTCTAATTCAAGCTCTTGCATACTCTTCCTATGAAATCCTTGTAAATAGGTTTCACCACCTTCCGAGGCTGACCCCATATACAGTATTATTGGAGCTTACATAATGATGTCAGCAGAGACATGGTTCTTTTAACTGCCTTCCTCCCTGAAGAATTAGTGTTCTCCTTACATTGTTCAGCTGGTGAAAATTTTGCATGTAGTATCTACCCTCAAGCTGCTTTATCAGTGTTCCACACAATGCTGCTTTCATGTTAATTATTTGTACTAAACGTTGGGTAATAAAGGATACCAACATCAATTACTGTAATTGTATTGTTAAAGAATCGCGCAGTTGAATGCCTAATGAAGAAGCTGCAGCACACTAAACATGCTTAGAATCTCAAAAAGATTAAATATTCTAAGACACATGCTTAAGCCCATTGCCATAATTATGGTTATAGTGGTGGCTGCAGCCATTATTGTTGTTATTATCCCCACCACCACCACCAAAAAAAGTCAGCAAAATTACACCCTATGAAAATTAAATACTATAAACAAAATAGGAGAGAAGCAGACATCTGTGTTCTTACCAGATGTCCATGTGAAGTTGATGGCACTGTGACAAGGGCTTCTCACTGAGAGATTAATACAACTGTTTTGGTTCGCTCCTGACATGATAAATAAATGCTGAGAGATTTTAGGGGATGGTCAAGGTTGTACATTAGTCTCGGCAACCTGTGGCTCTCCAGGTGTTTTGAACTTCATCTTCCTGAATTCCTGACCATTGAACAAGCTGACATGGGCTTCTGGGAGTTGGAGGCCCAAACACCTGAAGGGCTGCAGGTTGAAGAGACCTGTTATACAAGAACATGCAGTCCAAAAATAGTTTGGATTCTATAGAACGCACATCTCAAATGCAAAGCGCATTGGCTGAATGGCCTGCCACGTCATTTTATGCAGCCTGTGAGGCTTTCAATGCCAGGGCAACATAGTTACATTTGTACAGTCTTACAATTACAAACAGCCTATTTGAAGGAAACCATAAGCCTGATGTGGCTCTCGATAAAATGAGTTTCACAGCCCTGCTATATGACACAACCTGTAGTTTGAATTGTTCTCAGAAGCAGACTGGCAACTAGCAGACTTGTGTGTTTCCTGTAGACAACAACAGTTAACAATTTGCCAGAAGCTTTTTAATCCAACTGAACTTTTCAAAGGCTGTTCCTCATAGAGTGTGTTACATTAATCCAAACAGGATAAACTGTACAGAGGCAGTAAAGAGTCACTGTGGACAACATTTCAACCTAATCCTTGAAATTATAGCTTCGTTTGCATAAATTAGTTTTTAATTATTGTTCTAGCATGACCTCAGATAGATGGCTCTATGAAAAACAAGTTTGATGGATCTGTATACTAGCTTCTTATACTTTCATGTATGAGGCATGTTCCCCATAAAGTAGCATGGGTTCCAAAGTCAAATCTCCCCAGCAAGCGGATCCCAGCTTTCTTATTAATTGTAATATCTTCACCAGAAAGAATTTATCCTACTTGATAGAAGGCTGGGCCTTTAAAAGGAGGAAAACACATGAGCAGAATCTTCCCAAGGCTATAGTGTATGTGGTTCAAAAATTTTAATGTTTGGTACAAATCTTTACGATATGGTAATAGAGGAATACAGTGTAGTTGACACTTCATGGCACAAGTCATTATTTCGACATGCATGGAGTTGATGCTCATGACAGATTCTGCATGCTCATACTGAGGAAGAGTCTATGGAAGGAATATAGGAAGTTGTCTTCTATCAAGTCAGATGATTGATTCAACTTAACCCAAAATGATGAATACGGATTGGCAGCAGCTCTCCAGCAGGATTAACCAAAGCTTATTTGGAAATGTTGGGAATTAAACCTGGGATTTTTTGCATGCAAAATGTATGGTATACTGCTAAGCCATGACCTGCTCAGTGTTGAAAACCCTTTAAGCTGGAAAGAGAATTAGCATAACAAATATTAGTGACAACTGAGAGCACATTTCTGTATAAACCAGGATGAAAGGTTTTGTAAATTACAGAAGATTTTTGTGACAAGTCAATACATTTTTAACAAATAGCCATTGCCTGAGATTCTATTTTTTAAATGCTTATTAGTCATTCATAGCTCTCTGAGCAGCATACAAAGTAAAAGATTTAGGAATCTAATAAATAACTAAGTAAAAAATGCCATGACAGCCCAAAGAGACTATCTTTCGTCACCATCCACCATATTTCAAGTGGAGAGAAAACCTCAGTGAGAGGCATTCAGACCAGGTTCTGGTAGAAACAAATTGTTCCAATCTTGTCATTGAGTGTTGTATATATTAGTGCCATAATCTCATTCATATAAATTGAGAAGCTGATTTAATTGAACTCACTAGGTTTTATTCCTTGGTTATGACATATAGAGTTGCAGTACAAAATCAGTCCTAGGAATGGTAGTTGGAAGTAGACTAGTAGCTCTTCAAAAACATGCTTGGTATTTTCATAGAGCCAATATCTGTTAGCAATTTATTCTATTTGTTGTTGTTGCTTTTCTTTTTTCTTTTTAAATTTAATTTTCTTTATGCACATTATATACAAAATCATAGTACTGTACAATTAGAAATCACTATTTACAATTATTTATTATTTATTATTACTCTCCCTCCCCTCTATAAGTCACCGATGTTTACATACCCCTTCCCTACCAGTCCTCTTACTAGTAAATTATTCTCTATTATCAAGTTTGCTTTATAATAGAGTTATTTGTTTGGGGGGAGGGGGTGCGTGTGTGTGTTGGCTGCATTTTTCAGTTATCAAAGCCCCCTTATATAGTCAGCTGAAATAATCTGAGATTTTACGGATAAACAGATATGTCTAGTACTGTAAGAAAAAGAGTCACTTCTCCCCTATTCAGCAGCCTATAGCTTAATGGTAACTTTTTTTATCAGCATGGTGATATCTCCATTTGTTGTTTTCCTCTTTTTAACATGGCTATTCTTTGTTTCACAGGAATTAGAACAAGAACCTGGAAGCAACACAATGCATTGAGAAGGCCTGTCAAAAGTCATTTCAAAGAAAATGTAACAGGAGACGTAAAGTCAGGAAGATCAAAATCAGCTTTTTGAAGAGCTCATTTCTGCAGAAATTAAACCTTTCTTTGTACAGATTTTAATTTATTAACAAGCGTGAAAAGGTGAACTTTCCACCTTTCTTTTTGCCCCCTTCCCCTTTATCTAGGATGGTGCTTCATGGCATAATATATTGCACTAGAATGCATCTTCACTAAGTATGTAAAATAAAACTATCCATTTTAATGTACAAATAGAATTTTTTAAAGCTCATGACTGGACTATGGCTTATTGTTCACTACCTATTCATATATATGGAAACATTGCTAAACTTAACAAATATTTCATTAACCTCTTTTCCTTTCCATGTGTTACAGCAAAATACCTTACAAGATGGATTGGATCAAAGAATGGCATGCATTTGTTAGACTAGAATAGCTCTATTGAATCTGTAGAAATTATACATTTACTTGCAAACTTCCCGCTAATTCAATTTGGGATTAAGGGTTGGATTTTGTTTCCAAAGACTTGTGGATTCCATTCTAGAAGTGGGCAGGCATCCTTGCATTTTGCCTTTTAGCATGTGTGCAAGTTTTTATATCTGTTTTCTGAATGCTTGCTGAACTGTTATTGCTGGGGTTAGGAAAGAGTCAGGAATGTTCTGCCCAGGTCTTCTTCCTTTTCTACAGATCTGTAGGCCGCCCTTGGAGGAGATAGGACATACCCATGTTCTACCAAGTTTTACTAAAATTTCTTTTCATTCTTCATTTCTTTTTCTATTTTTTTAAAAAACCTAATCTGTTTCTCTTCATTTGGGGTCTCAAACCATATGCCATATCTTTTTTATTCATTTTTGTTTTTCTTTTCTGCCGCACACAGCACATGAAAGATAAGCAACCTGATGGAAAATATTCCCATCTACTATTATTCTTTCTACAACCTCGTCTGTCTCTCTTTGTATGATATATGTTAATGTTCTTAATTGTGAATAAAGTCTTACTAAATTTTAGCCACAGTTACTGCCATTGTTCTGTCTCCTACAATTACTTTGCTTTAATCAGCATTTGGTACAAAACATTGGACCTCAAAAGTTCTTGCATCTAGCATAGACTTACCAAGTCTCAGATCAAAGCAAGTAAGGTAAGGTCTCTACCAAGTTGGTCAAGGAAATATCTGCTTTCTTCTCTCATTCATTTTTATTTTAAGATAGCCTCAATCAGACTTATTCCAGGTTCATTGTTAATAACATGGTTCTGATTAATCAAGCAGAACATTTTTACGTAGCCCTGAATTATTCTTCAATGGGACAGGAAAGCAAAAAATGCTTAAAACATGTTTGTCCTTAAGGGAAACCATTTATTTAGGTAGAACTTTTTCATCTGTTTGAGGCTTTAAAATGCCCAAGGAGATAGAGACACTAAAAGGAAAACACCAGCAGTCAGTACAGAGCCCAAAAATAGACCCAGTCCTAATGTAGGCATCTGAGTGATGGTAAAAACCTGAGCCACACATGGCGACATCAAAAGCAACTCAGTAACTTGGTTTTGAGGTTACAGTGTTCAAAGGCAGCCCAATGTAATATGCATTGCAGTAGTCTAGAGAATGTGGAAATTGATAAGAGGCTAGGCTACCTCCATTCAGAAGTAGTTGTGGCTCACCAATCCATGAAAGGCAAGTAAAGCAATGGAAATCACATTATGCTCTGATGACAGGCCCTCAATAACACCTTCTGGGATCAGTGAGGCAAGATAATGTCCCTAGAATACAGCGAGGATCCACTGAATAGAAATATAATAATAATTAATAATAATAATAATAAAGTCCATATTGCCAAAGAGGTCTAAGACATTTGACAGTCACATTCTACTGGCATAGGTCAGAGGCCTGGTTAATATTTGGATAGAGAACCACCAAAGAATATCATACGTCTAGGCTACAGTCAAAGGAAGACAGTGGTAAACCTGCTGTGAGAGTTCCTTGCCTAAGAAAATCCTGTGGGTGAAGAGGAGTCTTAGAGACACTTTTTGTCATTTTATATTTAACATAGAGTTCTCCATCCTTGCTGTAACCCCCTTTATTAATATTTATCCAGACAGTGCATAGCTAAATGGTATAAACCTTGCTTAGGTCAAGTGATTTGAGCTTCTAAATTCTTAAAGCAAAAAACAAACAAAAAATGCAAGCGAAGGCTTATTTACAAAAAAACAATTCAGGCCTCTAAATAGAATGGCATCTCACCAAAAACTCCATGTTTAAAGTGCTGAACATTAAAAGCCAGGACAAGATAATGGGAATATGCACAGTATAATTATGTGGCTATAGTTATTGGAGCCTTTTGATCTCAAGAAGCAACATAAACACTGAGTATATCACAAAATCCAGACCAATAATACTTTTATTGGGACCAACTCCAAAGCATAAAATGCATTATGCAAACTCAAAGCTTTGTTGATTTCTTCATCAGACAAAGGTGTTAAAAATCATACAGGAGAAAAAAAGGTGAAGATGTTAGTCGCAGACTGGCATTTTATCTGCCAACTGAAAAGGTGGCAAGTTCAAAGTCCGAGTCAGGGTTGAGCATCCGACTGTTAATAGCTGTTTTAAAAAAGCTGTTAAAAATGCCTAGTTCACTGTTGACCTAAGCAGTTCGAAAACAGCTATGAGCTGTGAGTAGAGGAATTCGGGACCGCTTAAAGCGGGGAGGCTAATTTATGACACCATAAAAATGCCAGAGAGCAAGGAGGAAATACTACAATCAAAAAGGCTCGACATCATAGTGGACGACGTGACAGCTCCCCCTGTGGCCAAATCGAGCAACCTCCAAGATCCGAAATGGAAGAACTGCTGAATGGCCTCTGTCTATGTCTTGTATGTCAAAAACGGCATTAAATGTTTGCCATGTACATTGTGTTCCGTCCTGAGTCCCCTTCGGGGTGAGAAGGGCAGAATATAAATACTGTAAATCAATCAATCATCTATGCTGCACAGTTTTACCAGTTTTGTCCTATTTTGTCATAGCTACAGCCTAAGGAATGCTGAGCTTTACAGTTTAGTAGGAAAATTATCTGGTAACAATCCAGTCCCCTCGATTGCATCTGATCAATCTTGCAGCAAGTTCCAAGTACCTCTCCCCAAACTACAAATCCCAGGACACCATAAGAGAGTACTCTAGCACATAGGGCAAGATCAAACCTTGTGCGGTATGGGTAGTTTTTATCTTGTCAGACTAGCTACTAAAACTCTGTGGTTAGAACAAGGCATTTTGTTGTCTGAAAATGGCACCTTGCCTAACAAAGTCAAGGCTGTATTGTTGAGTGTCTAAGTCATTATTACTTATGGAAACCATAAGGTGAATCTATTACAGAGCTTTTTTTGGCAAGAATTGTTCAGAAGGAGTTTACCTTCCTCTGAGGCTGAGAGTATGATGTCTCCAAGGCAGAGCAGGGATTTAAACCCTAGTTTTCCAGTGCCCTATGAGTTCATCAGATGGACAAAATTGCTTGTCCTAGAATGCTTGGATCTCAGTTGAGGCATGGAGCCCACTGGCTCCCATCATATAATGCAGATCAACTTCCAGCAGGGTTCTGTGCCTCAACTGAAGCCAAGCGTTGCAAGAGGCAGCAGCTGTAACACAGGATGCTCCCCATGTTGCATAAGAAACAATGGAGGGAAGCTGGGCTGTGATGCTTCCCCCCCCCCCCCCGGTGGGATGGGGTGAGTAGCAAGGCGAGTGATGTGGGGTGTTGGGTTCCCCATGCCCCCCCTCCCCGAGCCTTGCTGGATTCACCACAAACTAATGTGTAATATGCCAAAACTGAACCATATTGTTTTAGTATCCTATACAATTCTTTAGCAATGTCCCTGGCAGTAAGATGGTTTAAGATGGTTGAGATAGAGCAGACCCTATATATCTCAGCTCTTGTCACAGTAGGTACTGAATAGGCAACAGAAACATATCCTGTACGACTGGTATATTAATGTAATGCAAAGCATCCCCCTTTTGTTTTTTGGTAAGAGTATCATTAGGAGAATTGATTGCAATGGGTCTGAGAAGCTGGCATGAGCTTTGGTATGACTAAGCTCAGCAAGCTATGGAGAGAGCTTGTAAAGGGAAGGGAAATAAAAGTAAATTGTGAAGGTGGAGTAGGAGGATAAGAATTCAAGGTAAATGTTCCAGGAATGCCATTGACAAAGGAAAGAAATGAAGCAAAATGAGGTAACAGGTTTTAAAAAATCATCAAGAACTAGCCTTGGGAACTATGGTGAATAAAGTTTTTCAAAAATGGAAATTATCTAATAGTTATTACTTTATTTAAAAAAAAGGATTACTACACACCCTCATATGTATGTTCAGAAAATTTAGTTCAAAAGTCAGTCCAAAATGCTTATTCAAGGGTCAGTGTAAGAATTGCCCCTTAACTGTTATCAAACAAGGAAGTGTCCACTTCTCTGAGAAAAGTGATGAAAGCAGGAGCTTAGTCCATCCCAAGAGAAACTAAAAGAAGCTCTGCTGTGGCTCAGCTTCTGGCCTTTTAGAGTGCTGCCTCTGGTATTTCTTAAAGAACCCCGGGAGAACAGAATGATAAGCTAGACTCTTGATTTTTGCCACTACACAGAAAAGGAAATGATTCTTTCTTTGGTTAAGAATTCATACTGTGTCTTTATCGGAAAAACCTTCCACTTCTCCAAGTAGGGTGGCAAGAGGCTTTTCTCAATGCCTGGGAAGAAAAAAGGCAATGGTGAATGGGAATCACTGGCACCAGGAGGTGATACTGGCCCTTTCCATGGACTGATCCTAATGTATCTACAGGTTTTATTAAAACCTGTAATTTTGGTTCCAAAGCACCCCCAACCTATATACAAGCATGGGAAATAAACAAGAGGATTCTTGGAAAAGAGGAAGTCCTAGCAGACTGGAAGAGGGGAAATGTCCCTATCTTCAAGAAGGGAAAAAAGAAGACCCAAACAATTACCATCCATTCATCCTGACATCAATACCAGAAAAGGTTCTGAAGCAGATCATTACGGAGGTAGTGTGTAGTAATGTAGAAAAAAAATGCAGTGATCACTAGATGTCAACATGGATTTCTCAAAAACAAGTCATGCCAAACTAATCTTATGGCTTATTTGGATAGGATGACAAGCTTGATAGATGCTGTGGATGTAGCACATCTTGGTTTTAGTAAGGTCTTTGACAAGGTCCCCCATGATCTTACAAACAAGTCAAATGTGGGCTAAACAATACTACTGTTGGGTGGATTTATAATTGGTTAAGTGACTGAATGCAAAGGGATCTCACAAATGGTTCCTGTAAAGAAGTGGCTAGTGGGGTGCTGCAGGGTTCTGTTAAGGGCTGATTAATATCTTTATTAATGACTTGGATGAAGGTTTAGAGTAGTGGTTCTCAACCTGTGGGTCCCCAGGTATTTTGGCCTACAACTCCCAGAAATCCCAGCCAGTTTACCAATTAAGATTTCTGGGAGTTGAAGGCCAAAATCTGGGGACCGACAGGTGTAGAACCACTGGTTTAGAGGGTGTGCTTATCAAGTTTGCAGATGACACTGAATTGGGAGGCTTAGCCAATACTCCAGAAAGCAAGATCAGAAATCAAAACAACCTCTACAGATTAGAGATCTGGGCCAAAAATAACAAAATAAATTTCATCAAAGTGAAATGTAGGATATTTCACTTAGGCAGAAAAAATGAAATGCAGAGATACAGGATTAGTGATACTTGGCTCAAAAACAGTACATGTGAAAAAGATCTTGGAGCCTTAGTAGACAAGAAGTTGAACATGAACCAACAGTGTGGCGGCTTAAAAACCAATGTGATTAGTATAGTGTCTCGATCAAGAGAAGCAATTGCACTTCTCTAATTTGATTTGGTCAGACCTCACCTGGAATACTGTGTCCATTTCTGGGCATCACAATTTAAGAGAGATGTTGATAAGATGAAATGTGTCTAGGGTAGGTCTACTAAAATGATCAAAGATCTGGAGACCATGCTCTA